GCTCGCAAACCCGGGGCGCCAGCAGCCGTGGGACATCAGGCAGCACCTGTCCTGCTGAGTCACTCAGCCGCCTGTGCCGTGCAGGGGCCGCCGGGGGCAAACGTCTCTGCCTTTCCCCGGGGAAACAGGTCGATGGGTTTTTCCCTGGGTCAAAACCGGTGGAACTCGGTGCTTGTGCAAGTGACGGGCGGGTCGCGCTGGCCAGGGACCAAATAGGCAGGTGCTCTGCAAACTCCATGCTTGCTGCTGTCCCGCTGCATCTCAGCGCCCACTCACAGCTTCAGCACAGACGCCAGCGATCTCTCCCCAGGGTACCGGTCGTGCCCAGGAATCTAGACAGGAATTACCCATGCTGGGGGGGACATCTGGGGCTCCGGGCCCCTCGCATGGCTGCGTTCTAGGTCCTCCATCAACCGCCCAGCTCTGTCCCAGCTCCTGGGGCGTGGCAGGCTCTGATCCCGTGGGCACAGCCCCACAATTAGGCTCTTCAGCCCAGACCCACTGCTGCCGGGGGGCGGTTCCTGTTCGTGGCAGCAGCCATTGGTTCAGGAGCCTGGATACTGAGGTAGGTCTGGCTGGCCTTCCAGCCTGCCTGCCCATGCGACCGGCCTCAGAGGCAGCGCTTTGAATGGGCCGGCATTCTGCTATGGCCGTGGCACTTGGCCGGGCGCTGCCCTGCAGACAGAGCTCCTGAGGTGGCGTCTCCATACCCAGCTGGATGGGAGACCCTCTCGCCGGAGGGGCCGTGGCCAGCAAAGCCGAGTCTCCGTGGAACAAGCCCCCTTGGCCACGGCCTCCGGGATGCACCGGCCTGTGAGATCAGCCTCTCGCCGTAAGGACGGGTGGCAGCCTCCTGCCAGGACCGGTGCCAGGCAGGACCTCGCGTTCCTGAGACGTCATGGGAACGGCAGCACTCTTCTGCCGTTGCACGTCGCTTCGGAGGCTGCTCTCGGCGGCACGCCAGCCAGGCCCTGCTGCTGGGGAGTTTTCCTGGAGACACCGCTTCCGCTGGCAGGGGCTGCGGGACAGAGCGCCTCCCTGGGAGGCGGGGGCAGGATGGGGCTGCTTTCCCTGCAGAATGGGGATGGGGGGGGGGAAGGAAAGAACAGCCAGAGTCACTGGAGTTGGCTGGCTCTCAGGTAGTTTCCAGCGTCCGTTTGGGACACGCAGAAGGGGGAGGGGGGGGGGGAAGGAAAGAACAGCCAGAGTCACTGGAGTCAGCTGGCTCTCAGGTAGTTTCCAGCGTCCGTTTGGGACACGTGGAGAGCCCGTCTCCCCTGGCCTGTCCCGGGGGGTTCCACGCCGCGCCTATAAACCGCACCAGACTCTCCAGGAGCGGCTCTTATGCCGCAGCGCGGGAAACGGGCTGGCCTCAGAGCGTGTGGTGTCGGCAGGGTCCTGAACCTTCTCACCATATTAAACTTACCTACTCCCTCCTGCCTCCCGGAGAAGGGCTTGTGTCACAGACCCAATTCAGCGCCGCGCCCCTCCTCCCGCCTGGGCGCCAACAGCGCCCTCCCCCGGGGCGGAGAAGCC